CAGCAGGTGCTGCTGTCAGAAAGAGCAGCAGGGAAAACCAAAACCTTCCTTGAGCAGGGTGGGGCTGAAAGTTCTAAAATGCAGTGAAGAAGGGAAAAGCCTATCTTTTAACGATAGAGGGAAAAACAAGGGGTTGGGGGAGAAAGACAGCTGAAAAAGAGGAGGGTAAGTCAAGGCATAAAAAGTGGAAGGGTAAATACATGACTTTGGGCTTTAAAAGACGCAGGCGTGCTATGGCTGGTGGCCATTGGGCAGAATGGGCGAGGTAGCTTTGAAGTCTGAGGTAGCTCTTAAGTCTGCAGAATCATTCAGTTTCATCAGAGGGAGGGTTCCATTAGGGATAAGAAAAGAGTAAGCTTAATTTTCTCCATGTATTTGACTCTGAGGACCTTATGTGGGGGACAGGCCCACAACAGAGCATAATTTAGGGGTTCCTGGGAAAACACCATCACGACAACAAGTTGACTGCATCCCATGCAGCTCTCAAAATCTGCAATCTGGTGTCTTCTTAATATGATTTCAATTTACTTGAAACATTCTGTTCTCTAAGCTTTATTGGAGGGCAAGTAAATCTATTCACTATGCCACCTTTGCCTTGTTTTACCCTCCACATGTTTTTGTAGCTCATTAGTATTATCTTACAACCAGCATGGCAAGAGAGGGTAATCCTTTAGTTTCTCAAAAATAATTATTACCTACATTAAAAACGAAAACAAAAGCAAAAATCAAAGGTCAGAAGTTTTTAGACACTAACATCTCCTTAAAATTTCCCAAGTAATCATTAACTCATTTGCACCCCCTCTAAATTCGTAAAATTAGATTTACCACCGCCCCCCCCCCCAAAAAAAAACCACAGCAGGATCTTTGGTGACAAATTATTAATGCTGCCCATCATTTAATGTGGGAGGTGGTGCTGGTGAAACTGTTGCACAGAGTAGGGCAACTTGTCTGAGTAAGAGTTAACCATTTTAATTTTTTATTGCTTTTCTCTGATTATAAACATAAATGCTCATTGTAGAAAAATTCAGATCTTTCAGAAATATGCAATGAAGAAAGTGAAAGCAATCCCCAAGAGTGAATCACTCCAGCTTTTCCCTCCAACATTTATTTTAAACAAAATAAAACTGTAGTTGTTTTTTAAACAGGATTATACGATGTTTAATCCAGCAACTTGCTTTTCTTGATTACAATTTTACTTGTTCTACTGAATAATCAGAGATCCATCACATCACTTTAAAAGGCTGCATATTTTTCTGTAGAAAATATGTTTTTACAATTATTTTACTTTGGCGAACATTCTTGCTCACATATCCTTGTACACATGTTAAAGCATTTTTGAATAGAAAATCCTAGATATGGATTTGCTGGGACAACATGTCCAAGTATTAACATTTTCATTAGACTGTTCTTAAATTTTAAATCTTTAAAATTGGTCAGTGGCTTGAAATGGCAAATGACTTTGTTGCAAAGTCTCTCAAACAACAGTCACCAAGTCTAGTTTTCTTTAATTCCCTTTTCAGGAGTCACTGAGATAACAGTTTGTTGTCACAGGCTCACATTCAATCTCAGTTTGTCAGTGTTACAATTCTAAAGCATGCCAAAAATATTTTTGGGGAGTGAGCTTTTGGATTTTTTTTTCAGATGACATTAGCTTCAGGTATGTTTTTGAAGTTTTGAGTAGGCTTTAGAAAGACAGATAAAATCAGACTAATCTACTATCCAATTCTCCCTTCTTTTAGCTGCTGCAGAGAACATGATGTTGCTCTTGGGACAACCACCTGGGTTACTAGCTGCAGGAGGCCACGTCTGACAATTCTCATCTTTTTAGGATATGGGTACTATTTCTAGCAGTTTTCAGTATTTGTCACATTGAACCTAAGCCACTAACTCTGACTACACTTCCATTTTAAGAAGACAGACTTTCAAGAGCAAAAATACTTATAATAGGAACCTCCTGGACCGCCCACTCTAAAATGATTTTTGCTTCCTCTGGACTCACAGATTTAAAAATGTCTGTGCTACTCATTAACTTGTCAATTTTCTTTTGGACGTCAAAAAAAGATATAAAAATTAAACTTTTTAAGTGTTTATATAAATCAAATGACTGACTATATTATCCTCACTGTATTATAACCTTCATGAGAGGAGGTACTTGGTTTAGGTCACTGATGTTTCTCAGTATCTAGAACAGTACCTAGCCTATAAAAGGTGTTCAATACATATTTGTTGAATGAATAATAAATTCTTGGAAGGCAGGAATCTTCTTATATTTTGCATCCCCATAGTAAATGCCAAATTGCTGACAAAAATTAAGGAAAGACTCTTTATCCAGGAACACAACTTAAGAATTTTTTAAGAAGCTAAGTATGTAATATCCCTGGCCTAAATAAAATTCAAGATTCTTCCCGGCCTTAACTTTTATGAAGTACTAGTTTTTTTTAAAAAAGAATCCAAATATATATAGATATATACATGAAACTAAAGAATTGGATCTTTGATTTAGAAAGCAGTGCACCGATTTTTTTTTAAACCTTCAATCATCATTATAAAGATCAGACTTGACCTCAAGCTGCATTCTATAAAGTTCCTTGTTAAAAACAAAACAAAACAGAACCCAAACAAAAACATGGCATCAAGTCGTTAACTGGGAATGCCTTTGTAAGCCTTAAAAAAGCTTTTAATGTTACTGTGTAAGCAAGAAGGCAAAGGAAATATTTGTGTACATTTTATATTCTACACTTTGTCAATGGTGATATGCCTTCAAATCCATGTCATATATGCAATTATTTGGATTTAAAGCCAATAAAAATAAAAGCAGTAAAAAATGTATAAAAAAGGGAATCTGAGTGAAAGAAGTATCCATCTAAACCTAGTGCATATTTTGGATAAAATACAACATTTGGGGGAATAAAGGCAGAAAGTGAGATAAAAAATGTACAAGAGTAAGTTTTAGAAACTTACTCCAGAAAATAGTCCATCTTATAAAGCACATTTTAATTCTAGTCTTTTAGTACTTATTTATGTCAGACCACCTCTTAGTGGATGTTTGGTTTCCTGTGTCGAGATTGAGAAAAATTACTTTGCGGTTAGGAAATAGCATATTCTCAAGACAGTTGACTGAAAAAACCTTTTTTAGCTTACTATTTTTTACAATAAATTTTACTTTATAAAGAGAGTAAATTAATCAGATTGAGATTAACTCTCACTGGTAGAACTGTAGTGAATATATTCAATTTGCTTAAAAAAGAAAATGGATCATCCCTGGAAAGAATTTTATATATAAGCAACTCACAGAAATAGGGCCTAAAATAAAGGAGAGTTTTTGATCTGCAAACAAAAAAAAGACAAAAATAAAGGAGAAAGAAAAAAATTTAAGAATATTGGGTTGGGGAGGGCAAGATTTCATAAAACAGAGTAGTTAAAGTGCCCAAGTTACAGTAGACAGCAAAGTCTGAAGTATGTTAACAACAGACGCATTCTTGGGGAAAACTAACGTCAGGCCCACTCCTACGGTTCATTTCCTAAAACAAAACGGTAGACAAGTATTCAACTTGCTGAGGCTTACAATGCTGGAGTATAGTGCACTTGTTATACCAGACCAGAGAGAAAAAGAATTACTCAAAAAAATTTTTAAAAGACATATTATGGGAAAGACTATAAAATAAAAATTAGAACATTCTTACTTAAGGTAGATTAAAATAAAAAATGAAATAGGAATAGGGTAAGAAGATATTACTGGTCCCAATCACTCATGTCAGGAAGATAAGAATCGTTAGGATCATACATCTTAAAGGGAATGGAAAAGAGTCATTCCTAAAAACTGTACCAAAAAATTTTTTTTCAAAAATTAAGAAATTCCAATTCGGTGTGTAAATATTCCTTAAAAAAAGTTTAACTTAAAATTTAGCTTTGGCAGGCTCTCACGTGGGAATATTAATATTATGCCTGCAATATCTATACATTTTAGATTAAAAAAATCAAAATATGTATTACTTCTATTTTAAAAGGTACTTTTGAAGCTATTAAAAAAACACCATTCTCTGCTAGTTTATTTAAGGGCTCATGGAAAAAAAAACTGATGAAATATTCATTATCTACAGTCCCAAAGCAAATACATACAAAGTTCTAAATGTCATTTTATAGGAATACTATCTAGTCTAGTGCAAGGTGCATGAACCCCTCTCTCCGTGACAGGCGTGAGCTCCGCCAGGAATCAGAAGCGTGTTGAGTGGAGGCCCCGTTCAAGTCCTGCATTTCCTGGGCACAGTGAGTCCCCGCAAAGCCCCCTCAGCAGCTCAGGTAACACAAAAACAGGCCGCGGCCGCTGGACCACAGCGAGAATCCCAGCCCCGGCCTTATTGTTGTGGAGCAGATGTCACGATGGGTGGGGCTGACGCGCAGAGCAGCCGAAACATTTTGGTACCACCCCCTGCACCTTCCATGGAAGAGTAAGGCTCCCAAAAGGTAAGGGCGACGCTCGTGAGGATCAGTTCCTACTAGAAATAAGGAAGTTACGATGGGACCGTGGTACACGGGAAGGCCACAAGGAGATTTTTTAAAAATCCC